ATCAAACCTATTAAATTATTGGCCAACAATTCAATTGGAGCTTTAGAAATTATTCACAATTCAAAAGAGACTTAATTTAAGCCATTTTTGGAAAAATCAACGTGGGGCCCACCTTTTGGAATCAGACGAAATATCACAGAATCCGGACACCCGTTCTGATACGAGTTTAACCATACTAAAATTTTTGAATTCCGACATCGGATTGTCTTTCAAATCCTAAACCTTCGTATTTGGAAAGTTTTACAAAAACTGCAATTTCTTCCATCTAAATCTGAAATAATTGATGAATATAAATATAGATTTATGAAATATAATTACTTTTGGGTATAGAATACTTACCCAAGTCGAAGCCGTGAAAAATTCCTTTTGGAATCGCCCAAATCCGAGACTTCAAACTCAAAAATGAGCAAAAATGGCTAACACCCGATTTTTAAGCATTCTGTCTAGCATTTTCGCATTTGCTGATACAAGTTCCGCATCTGCGGACTCGCATTTGCGAGACAAGGCTCACATTTGCGGAATAGGGCAGCCAAGCAGAATTCCACATCTGCGGACTTCAATGTCGCACCTGCGACATCCAAAAGCGACCAATTGACCACAGAAGCCGTCGCACATCTGCACCTCATTTCTCCGCAAAAGAGAAGGAGTTGCCCAAGGCCTAAGTCACAGAAGCGACACTGCCTCCGCAGAAGCGATCACGCACCTGTGGCCAAAGTTGCGCAGGTGCTACACACCAGAACCAGACCTGCAAATGTTTACTAAAATGGTCCGAAACACGTCTGAAACTCACCCGAGCCACTCGGGACCTCGTCCGAATATTCCAACAAGTCCCGTAACATAATACGGACTTACTCGAGGTCTCAAATCACATAAAATAATATCGAATTTACCATTCACACCTCGATTCGGACTTATGAGTTTATGAAGTTTTCACTTTACAAAACGCGTGCTGAAACATATTAAATGAATCCGAAATGATTTCAAATTTGGCGCACAAGTCATAAATGACATAACGGATCTATTCCAACTCTCGGAATCTCAATCCAAGTTCGATATCAATAACGTCAATTCACGGTCAAACTTTGGAATCTTTAAGCTTTCAAACTTCTAATTTTCAATAATTGGCTATAACTCGAGCTAGGGACTCCAAATTAAATTCCAGGCATACGCCCAAGTCCCAAATCACGATACAGACCTACCAAAACTGTCAAAATACTGATCCGGGCCCGTTTACTCAAAATGTTGACCGAAGTCAACTCAAATGAGTTTTGAAGATCTATTTCACATTTTTATCAAATTTTCACATAAAATATTTCCCGAAAAATTTACGTACTGCGCACGCAAGACGAGGAATGCTGAAAGGTGCTATTCGAGATCTCAGAACATAAAAATAAATATTAAATTTAAAGATGACCTTTCGGGTCATCACAATAACTCAATATCAAAAGTACAGAATCTCCGATAGGGTCTAGAGATGACTACATCTATCTCACAAACTCTCCCAAAACTAGGCGTTGCAACATAGTCACGAGCATATAATAAAAGTACAAAATCTTAATTGACATACAACGTCTGTCCGGAGTGACAAAAATACATAGACAGATATAAAAGAGCAAGGAAGAGGGGCTTCATGTGTTGCGGATCGGATAAAGTAACCAGCTCACCACGAACTCTCCAAATAGATCTCCTACTCCGTTTGGTGAATACCACTAAAACTAGCCTCAGAACCTGTACAAAAATGTACAGTAGTGTAGCATGAGTGCAAAATCATGGTACTCCAAAAGTATCAAGTCTAGCCTCAAAGAAGTAGTAGCGAGAGCTCGATAGTGACACTTATTAATAGCTCAATAAGCATATGAAGCATATATAGTGCATGGAATAAAGCATTGTCATGACCTAAAATCCCACCAAAGGTTGTGATGGCACCTAACTTCTAATACTAGGTAAGTCAATCACATAATAATATAATAATAATGAAACAAGATATAATATTACCAAATTATCATAAATAGCGGAATAAGAATTCGACATAAGCTACTACATAGATACCATAATACCAAATTCCCAAAATTAGGTTGTACAGAGTCACGAGCTCTAAAACTGAATACACGAAGATATCTCAGTAATATAATATTGTCTAAATTAGTAATAACAGTTTATAGATAAGGGAAGGGGACTCCGAGGGTCTACGGTGTCCATGTAGCACTACCTTGAATCCTTTCTATCAATAATAAAGCTCACTCCTGAGATCCGCTACCACCAACGCCAGAATATGCACAAAAATATACAAAAATATAGTATGAGTATGGGACAACTTGTACTAAATAAGTATTAAGACTAACCTCGGTGAAGTAGTGATGAAGTTCAAGTCATGTGATACTCACTAATCAAAGAACATGCAGAATATATATATACTAGCTTGCAATAAGAATATAACAAGATGCAATAACATCAATTATCAAATCAGGAGTTGTCTCAACATAGATAAATCGATCTTGACAATCAAGTCATCAACAAATAGCAGAGGCATAGAGTAGTATGTTAAAATTCAACAGAAAGCATGTAAAGTGCATAATAAGGCATAAAGGATTCACTTGCATAGTCAAAGCTTCCACCTTTATGCTCCACAACTCGCGATCATCGGATTTTATATTAGAATCACCCAACATAAGTCAATTTCAACAATCCGCATGTAAGCCATCAATAGAGAAACATGAGATAGCGACCATAGGGGTATGGATCCATATCCACACGCTGCACGGTAAAGACTTTGTGCCATAAGTATACCAATATCATCATAACTGCATGGCAAAGTTGTCGTGCCATAACAATCATAATGCCACAATATCTGCACAAAAGAGACTTCGTGACAACACCAAATCAATCTGCTTAATATGTCCATAAGTGCTAAAAGAACAACAATACAAGATACTTATTTATCATAAAGAGACACATGCTCATAATTCATCAATAAATTGCACAAGGACATAATAATAATATAGTGTGGATGTGTGCTCAAGATATGAAGTATGACCACGACTAAAATAATTATAGCAACAAATTTCACAATAGCCCATCTTGGCTAATAGGAGATAATAATCATAATCATGATCTCTAGCATAGAAGGATAATTTCACATGGTCATAAAATGATTAAACATGTATCATAGAAAGCACATGATCAAAATAAGGCATAATAAAAGCCTAGAGTTTAATCTGGTCATAAATCACACATAGCACCCATGTATACGCTTGTCACCTTGCATACACGTCGCTTTTCACATATTACAATTAAACAATTAAGGTCAAATCCTAAGGGTTATTCCCTCAAATAAGATTAGGCAAGATACTTACCTTAACAATCCCAAATCAACATTCTATAATCTCCTTTCCCTTAGAAATCACCTCCAACTGGATCAAATCTTAAAAAAATAACTCAATAACATCAAACTAAGCTATAGGAATTAATTCCAAACAATAAAGCTTTAATCATTATTCAATTCCCAAAAATGTCTACAAAAGTCAACCGAGGCCCTACATGGTCAAAACCTGAGTCAAAGAATAGATCCCGACTACCCATAATTCCACGAGTCCAAATATGTGTTTAGATTTCAATATCAAGTCCAAATCATAGGTCAAAACCCCAAATTTTACTCTCTTAAGTTGTAGGAAAACCCCCCAAATTTCTCTCAAAATTTAATGTTTTAAGTGTTAATAATCCATGTAGATTCTTGAAATAATATAAAAAATGAGTAGTAATCACTTACCCAAAAGTCTTGTATGACAATCTCCAAGAAAAATCACCCATCTCCAAGTCTAGGGTTGAAAATATGAAAGAATGGGCTAAAATCCCGAAATTCAACACTTAAATGCACTGCCCAAGAGTACTCTTCGCAAATACGGTACGCACCTTGCATTCGGGAAGCACAATAGATTCTTCCCACAAAATAACCCTTCACGTTCGCGGAACCTCCCTTACAAATGCGATGAACAAGCTTGCCCCACTACGCGATCGTGACCAGGCCTTCACGAACGCAAAAGCCAATCCTCCAGCTCTCAGCTACCAATCGCGAATGCGACCCTCTTGGTGCGAACGTGAAGAGAAAGTCCCCCGACTATCACGAACGCAACCCCCCAGCCGCGAACGTAAAGAAAAATCTCCCCCAACTCTAAAATGCACTCCACGATCGCGATGAAGGACCCGACACTAGCAAAAATCTATAACACCAAGAATGCTCCGGGTGGTCCGAAACTTACCCGAGACACCTAGGACCCCGTCCAATCATACCAATAAATCCTTAAACACTACCCGGACCTATCTAAAGCCTCCAAACACATAGGATAACATCACATAAACGAATTAAAGATCAAAATACAAGTTAAACTTCTCTTAAGTTCAAGAACTTCCAACAAAGCGTCCAATTCAAGTCTAACCAATCCGGAGTACATCTGAACTTTGCACACAAGTTCCAAATGACAAAAAGAACCTATTAAAAGCTCTGTAACAACTATCTGAATTTGATATCATCAAAGTCAACTCCCAGTCAAACTTAGGAACTCTCCAAACCTTCAGATTGCCAACTTTCGACAAATAGAGCCAAAACATCCTAGGAACCTCCAAATTCAAATACGAACATATGCCTAAGTCCAAAATCACCATACAAACCCATTGGAACCATGAAATCACCAATCCGAGGTCGTTTACACAAAATTCAAACCTTGCTCAACTCATACAACTTAAGTTTCCAACAATAGAACTAAGTGTTCCAATTTACTCCAAATCCTCCCAGAACAAAACCAGCCATCCCCACAAGTCACCAAACAACAAAAAGAATACGAGAAATATCAAATAGTGTAATAGGGCTCAAATATACAAAGTTACTGGCCGGGTTATTACATTCTCCCTGTCTTAAACAAATGTTCGTCCTCGAACGGGTTTAGAATCATACCTGAAATGCACAAAATATGAGGGTATCTGCTCCACATATCATGATCGGCCTCTCAAGTCTCTTCCTCGACCGTTTGACCTCTCCACCAAACCTTCACTGATACGATCTCCTTAGACTTGAGCTTCCGAACCTGCCTATCCAAAATGGCCACCTGCTCTTCCTCATAAACTAAATTCTCATCCAACTGTACTATGATAAAGTTCAAAACATGTGACTTATCTTTATGGTAATTCTGAAGCATAGAAACATGAAACACCAAATGAACTCCCGAAAGACTAGGAGGCAAAACGAGTCTATAAGCAACCTCACCAACTCTCTTCAACACCTCAAAATGACCAATAAACCTCGGGCTTAATTTTTCCTTCTTTCCAAACCTTATCATGCCTTTCATAAGGGAATCTCTAAGAAGAACCTCCTCACCCTCCATGAAAGCCACATCACAAACCTTCCTATAAACATAACACTTTTGCCTAGATTGAGCTGTGCGAAGCCTCTCCTAAATTAACTTCACCTTGTTCAAAACATCACGACCCAAGTCTGTGCCCACCAACTTAACCTCCACAGGCTCAAACCAACCAATTAGAGAACTATACGGCCTCCCATATAGGGCCTTGTATGGAGCCATCTGGATACTACACTAGTATCTGATATTGTAGGCAAACTTTGCTAATGGTAGAAACTGGTCCCACTGACCCCCGAAATCAATGGTGCATGACCTTAACATATCCTTAAGGATCTGAATGGTCCACTCAGACTGCCTTTCCGTCTGAGGGTGAAATGTAGTACTCAACTCAGCCTGCATTCCCAACTCACACTGAACAACGAGGTAAACTGAGTGCCACAGTCTGAGATAATAGAGATAGGTACAACATGCAAGCGAACAATCTCTCTTATGTAAATTAGAGCCAACATCTTTGAAGTGTAGGAAGTCATAACCTGAATGAAATGCGCTAACTTGGTCAAATGATAAACAATGACTCAAACGGCATCAAATTTCCTCAAGGTCCGTGGCAACCCTACCATAAAGTCCATAGTAATGCGCTCCCACTTTCACTCCAGTATATCAATCTTCTGAAGCAAATCACCCATCTTTTGATGCTCATACTTGACCTATTGACAATTCAAATACCTAGAAACATACAACGATATCCTTCTTTATCTTCCTCCACTAATAATGCTGCTTCAAATCACGATACATTTTCAAAACACATGGATGAATAGAATACACGAACTACGAGCCTCCTCAAGAATCAACTCTCTCAACCCATCGACATTGGGAACACAAACTCGACCCTGAAGTCGCAATACACCATCATCACCAATACTCGCCTCCTTAGCACTACCTTTCTGCACCGTGTCCTTAAGGACAAGCAAATGGGGATCATCATACCAGTAAGCCTTAATGCGCTCAAATAAGGACGATTGTGAAACAACACAAGAAAGAACTCTACTCGGCTCATAAATATCTAATCTCATTAATCTATTGGCCAATGCCTGACATCCATAGCTAAAGGCCTCTCCACAGCTAGAATAAATGATAAACTCCCCATACTCTTCGCCTTTCTACTTAAGGCGTCTTCTACCACATTAGCATTTCTTGGATGATACAGAATAGTGATATCATAATCATTCAACAACTCCAACTATCTCTGCTGCCTCAAATTCAAATCCTTCGGCTTAGACAAATGTTGAAGACTCCGATGATTAGTGTAAACCTCACAAGACATGCCATATAAGTAATGCCTCGAAATCTTGAGCACGTGAACAATAGATGCTAACCCAAAATCATGAACATGATAATTCTTCTCATAGGGATTCAACCGGTACGATGCATAGGCAATCACCCTACTATCTTGTATCAATACACACACAATTCCAACACGTGAAACATCATAATAGACCGTATACAACCCCGATCCTGAGGGAAATACTACAATTAAAGTTGTAGTCAAAGAAGTCTTGAGCTTTTGAAAGCTCTCCTCACACTTGTCAGACCCTCTGAACGGAGCGCCATTCTGAGTCAACTTGGTCAACGAAGCTGGAATAGACGAGAAGCCCTCCACGAAGCGATGATAGTAACCAACCAAACTTAGAAAAGGCCTGATCCTCGTGGATGTAGAAGGTTTGGACCAACTCTGAACTGCCTCAATCTTCTTCGGATCCACTTTGATCCCCCCACTAGACACCATGTGGCCTAAGAATGCTACTGAATCCAACCAGAACTCACACTTGGAGAACTTAGCACATAACTTCTTCTCCCTAAGAATCAAAAGTACAATCTTCAAAATGCAGCTCGTGCTCCTCCTTACTACGGGAATATAACAAGATATCATCAATGAACTCAATGACAAAAGAATCCAAATAAGGTTGGAACACACTATTCATTAAATTCATGAAAGTTGTTGGGGGGATTAATCAAACCCAAAAGCATCACCAAGAACTCATAATGCCCATAACGGATCCTGAAAGCCGTCTTAGGAATATCTGAAGCCATGATATCCAATTGATGTTACCCTGATCTCAAGTCAATATTTGTGAACACCCTAGCACCCTGAAGTTGATCAAGCAAATCATCAATGCGAGGTAGTGGATACTTGTTCTTGATGGTAACCTTGTTCAATTGCCTTTAGTCAGTGCACATCCTCATGGAACCATCCTTCGTATTCACAAATAGTAACACCATACCCCATGTGAAATACTCGTCCAGATGAAACCTTTGTCCAGCAATTCCTTCAATTTTTCCTTTAGTTCTTTCAACTCGGCCGGAGTCATGCGATATGATGGAATAGATATGGGCTGAGTGCCCGGTGCCAAATCAATACCAAAATCAATATTCCTATCGGGTGGCATGCCTGGTAGGTAAGAACACATCTGGAAATTCTATTACTATAGGGATTGAATCACCTATAGGAGTATCAACACTGACATCTCTAACAAAGGCTAGGTATTCCAAATATCCCTTCTCAAACATCCGTTTAGCCTTCAAAAGTGAAAATCCTACTTTGAGTGTGACCAAGCGAACCCCTCTATTTCAACCTTGGCAACCCCGACATAGCCAACGTCACGGTCTTAGTGTGAAAATCAAGAATAACATGGTATGAATATAGCCAATCCATACCCAACATCACCTCGAAATCAACCATATCAAGCAACAGAAGATGAAGTCTAGTCTCATAACCCCCAATAATAACCACACAATAATGATAGATATGATCTACCGTAATAGAATCCCCAACAGCGTAGACATATAAACAGGACTACCCAAAGAATGACGAGGCACATCCAAATATGATGCAAAGTAGGATGCCATATACGAATAAGAGAACCTAGATCAAATACTGAAGCATCTCTATGGCAGACTGAAATAATACTTGTAATGACTGTATCTGATATGACCGCTTCAGTTCTACCAATGAAAGCATAACAACGGACCTGGTCTTCCCTATAGGACGACCTCTACCCCGCCTGTCCCATACCTATAGCTGGTTGTGCAGGTGGTGTAGGATCTGGCGCAAGAATCATAGCCTGGGCACCCTGCTGAGGTACACCCATATGAAGCTTGGGATAATCTCTCCTCATGTGCCTTAAATCACCACACTCAAAACAAGCTCTCTACAGATGTGGCTGTTGGGACTAAGTCTTCCCTGGACGACTGGAATAACTCTGTATAAACCATGTGTGGGAGGTGCACTGAAGGATGACTGCCAATACGAGCACTCTGAAATTCATGTCTAGCTGGAGTACCACGTGAAACCTGAAGTGCTGACTGAGCTGGTCGACTGACATAGCCTCTACCATGAAGACCCTTTCCCCCAAAGTAGGCACCACTAAATCCTCCAAAACCATGAGGCTTCTTGGCCTCCATATCCTTCCTTTCCCACCTGTGAATATGCTCCAGTCTCCTAGCAATCTCCACAGCCTAATGAAAAGTAGTCTCAGTATCCATCTCGCATGCCATCCCGAATCTAAGGCTATAGGTGAGCCCCTCAACAAATCTACGGACCCTGTCCTTCTAAGTAGAAACTAGAACAACTATGTAACGTGATAACTCTGTAAACCTCATAGCATACTGGATCACAGTCATATCCTCATGGCGCAAATTCTAAAACTCAAAACACAAATCGTCCCTGCGAGTCTGTGGGTTAAACTCCTCCAAGAAAAGAACTGAGAACTGAGGACATGTGAGTGGTGCGGCGCCAACTGGCCTACTCGACTCATAAGTATGCCACCATCTGTATGATGGACTTGACAACTAGAAGGTAGTAAATCAACCCTATTCGAATCCACCAAACCCAAAGTGCACAAAGTACGATGACACTAATCAAGAAAACCATGTGCATCCTCAGTAGGCCCTCCAATGAAATAAGGAGGACGAAGTCTCTGAAACCTCTCCCTTCTTTTCTACTCCTCGGCAGTCAGGGATGGCCTAATCTCAAGCTAAATGAAGACAACTGGCTGCACCGGCGTAACCCCTGGAGTCTGATAACCATGAGCCAATTGTTCTGGTGAAACGAAAATCATATCCGCCTGGGTCAAGCTCTCAAACACACTCAGGATATGAGCCAAAGCCTCGTAGAGTCCGGTGTAGCAATAGGTCCCTCAGGTGCCTGAGTTGGTCCCACCTGCTCAACATGATCCAGTTCTGCTCCTCCACTAGAGCTACTGGTGGCTCCATAATGGTTGCTCTAGTAGGAACCCTTCCTGCGGCACGTGCTCTACCTTGGCCTCTACCCCGGCCCTAACCTCTCATGACTCTGACAGAGGGAATTGGTGCATGCTCAGCTACTCCATAAGAATGTGTCCTCACCATCTATGAGAGAATAGAAAAGTAAAGGCTCAAGCTTAAGGATAAACAAACATGCACAATAAAGAATGAAAGAAAGAAAAGTTTTCCTAACAGTCCGGTAGCCTCTCGAAGATAAGTATAGACGTCTCGGTATCGATATACAAGAATCTAACTAAACTTGCTCATGACCCGTAGAACCTGTGAACCTAGGGCTCTGATACCAACTTGTAACGACCCAAAATCCCACCAAAGGTCGTGATGGAAGCTAACCTCCAAGACTAGGTAAGCCAATCACAAAATGATATAATAATAATGATACAAGATATAATATGCCCAAATTATCATAAATAACGGTATAAGCATTCAACATAAGCTAGTACATAGATACCATAATACCAAATTTCCAAAACAAGGTAGTACAGAGTCATAAGCTCTAAAATCGAATACAAAAAGATATCTCAATAGTAAAATATTGTTTGAATATAGTAATAACAGTATATAAATAGGGAATGGGACCCCAAGGGTTTGTGGCGTCTATGTAGCACTACCTTGAATTCTCTCTATCAACAATAAAGCTCACTCCTGGGATCCGCTACCACCAACGCCTGGATTTGCACAAAAATATGCAGAAGTATAGTATGAGTACAGGACAATGTGTACTCAATAAATATCAAGACTAACCTCGGTGAAGTAATAATGAGGTTCAAGTCATGTGATACTCACTAATCAAAGAACCTGCACAATATATATGTACTAGCTTGCAACAAAAATATAACAAGATGCAATATCATAAATTGTCAAATCAGGAGCTATCAACTCAGCATAGATAAATCAATATTGCCAGTCAAGTTATCAACAAATAAAAAAGGCATAGAGTAGCATGTTAGAAATCAACATGAAACATGTAAAGTATATAATAAGGCATAAAAGATTCATTTGCATAGTCAAAGCTTCCACCTTTATGCTCACAACTAACTGTCATCGGATTCTATATCAGAATCACCCAATATCAATCAGTTACCACAATCCGCGTAAACTCCATCAAGAGAGAAATATAACAGGGCAACCCTAGGGGAATGGATCCATATCCACACGTTGCATGGCAAAGACACAATAATACAATATCATCACAACTACACGGCAAATACCTCGTGCTAACATCAAATCAATCTACTCAGTATGTTTATATGCACCAGAAGCACAACAATCCAAGATACAAATTTATCATAAAGAGACACATGCTCACAATTTATCAATACACTATATAAGGATATAATAATAATATAGTTCAGATGTGTGCCCAAAATATGAAGTATGACCACGACTAAATTAATTATAGCAACAAATTCCAGAATAGCCCATCTTAGTTAGGAGATAATAATCCTAATCATGATCTCTAGCGTGGAAGGATAAGTTCACGTAGTCATACAATGACTAAACATGTATCATAGAAAACACATGATCAAAATAAGGCATAATAGAAGCCTAAGGCCTAATCCGGTCATAAATCACACATATCACCCATGTATATGCTCATCACCTTGCATACACGCTATTTTGTACATATTACAATTAGATAATTAAGGTCAAATCTTAAGGGTTTCTTCCTTCATACAAGATTAGGCAAGATACATACATTAACAAGCCCAAAACAACCTTCTAAAATTGTTTTTACCTTAGAAATCACCTCCAACCAGCTCGAATCTAGCCAAAAATAACTCAATAACGTCAAACAAAGCTATAAAAATCAATTCCAAACAATAAAGCTTCAATCTTTATTCAATTTCAAAAAAGTCAACAAAAGTCAATCCGGGCCCACATGATCAAAACCTGAGTCAAATGGTAGATCTTGACTATCCATAATCCCACGAGTCCAATTATGTGGTTAGATTCCATAACCAAGTCTACATTATACCTCAAAACCCCAAATTTCACTCTCTTAAGTTGTACCCCCCCCCCCCACACACACACACACAAATTTCCCTCAAAATTCTATATTTAAGGTGTTAATAATCATGTAGATTCTTGAAATAATACTAGAAATAAGTAAAAATCACTTACCCCAAAGTCTTGTATGAAAATCACTAAGCAAAATCGCCCCTCTCCAAGTCAAGGGTTCAAAATATGAAAGTATAGGTTAGAATCAAAAAATTCAACATTTAAATGCACTGCCCAGGGATACTCTTGGCAATGTGGCACGTGCCTCACGTTCGCAAAGCAAACCAGCTTCTGCCCATAAAATAACCCTTCGTGTTTGCAAAACGTCCCTCACAAACACGATGAACAAACCTGTCCCACTACACAATTACGACCAAGCCTTCGCAAATGCAAAGGCCAATCCTCCAGCTCTCAGCTCCCAATCGCGAATGTGACCCTCCTGGCGCGAACGTGAAGAGAAAGTACCCCAACCATCGCTAACGCGAAGAATATTCTCCCCCAACTCCAAAATGCACTCCACAATTGCGATGCTTCCTCGGCGATCACGATGAAGGACCTGACACTAACAAAAATCCGCAACACCAAGAATGCTTCGGGTGGTCCAAAACTCACCCGAGCCACCCGAGATCTCGTCCAAGCACAACAACAAGTCCATAAATACTACTCGGACTTATCCAAAGACTCTAAATACATACGATAACATCACATCAATGAATCAAAGATCAAAACACAATTTGAACTTCTCTTAAGTTCAAGAACTTCCAACAAAGCGTCCGATTCAAGCCTAATAAATTCGGATTACATCCACACTTTTTACACAATTTCTAAATGACAAAACGAACCTATTTCAAGTTTTGAAATAACAATCCGAATCAGATATAACCAAAGTCAACTCTCGTCAAACTGTAAGGCCCCGTAAATTTTACCTAAAAACTCGGGACTTCGTGGTGTCGGGGTAGACTTACGTGACTTTTTGGGTGGAACGGTGCGCTGGGGAGCAAAGAAAAAATTATTCGCGCTGGGTAGACACTACCGCGCCACATGTTGTGCCGCCCCATGCGACACTCTTGTGGCGATTTCTAGAACACTTCAAAAAACATTTCTGGGCACATTTTTCACTGCGGCGCCCCATGCGGCACGGTTGTGCTAATTCTGGGTTTTTATAACCCGACCCCCATTTCATTTATCTAGCCTAAGGGTTTGTTTTGGGGGGATTTTCTGGTGTTTTAGAGAGATAGGGTAGAGAGACTCTAGATAGAGGATAGAGAGGACTAAGGATTTCACCACGCTACCTTGAATCAAACCTTGAAATTTCATCAAAGGGTTGCTAAGGCTTCAAAGAGGTAAGAATTTCTTTCCCCAATTCTTCAATTTTGAAATTTAACTAGAAATGGGTAATTAGTAAGATAATGTTTGGGCATAGGAGTTGTCCATCTTGCATGCATGTGTTATCATAGGGGTGTTAGGAGATTGTTGAGCTAAAAATGGTAGATAATGGGTTTGGGATGATGGAATCCTCCATAAAAGGACCTCGGAACCTTAATGCACACCTAGTGTTTGATAAAATGCTCAAATGAGCTAGAACCATGATCATCTTCCTAATTTTAGTTCAATTTATTACATTTCTAAAATAGATTGAAGTTGCTAAGATTTCCGAAATATTTTAGAGTGTAAGGAAGCTCAAGTGAGGTATGTTGCTAAACTCTTCTTTAAGAATTGAACTCCCCATTACCCTTGTAAGTTCCAAGATGTTTATTATAAATCGAGTATTCCGAATAAGTTTTTTGACAAAGATATATGTTCAATTCGTGTTTCAAATGCTCTTATCATGTTGTATTATAAATTGAGAATGTGT